GGCGGCCACATCAGACTCAAGCCATGAAGGCACAGGCAGACTAGGATGCAAAGGCTTTAGGGCCGTTTTTTTTTTTAAAGGAGAAAACAAAGACTTCACTTTCCTCCCATCCTACTTTCTCCTTTTCCAAATACTACGACGCCACTCATTAGTATGAGCTTTTCACGCTTTCCCTAAACCTCCAGTTTACATTGCACCAGCCCAGAACACAGAAAACATGAACTGAGTTCTCAATTCCTGCTTCTAGCCCTATTAACTCTAACCCCTCTGCCTGCTTGGGAGGAGAGGGGACAGGACAGGGTCGTGGCACCCCTCAGCTGGCTCCCACCCCACGTGTCAGCCCTTCATCACGCATCCATTCCACCATTTTCTTTTTCCCTCCCTTCCTTCCCCCTTGCATTTATTTATTTTGATTTATTCATGGGGACACCTGATCTAGGCTTGATGCCAACCACGTAAGATTCTGTCGTCAACCTTGAAAGGCTCTCAAATTCTACCACACCTAGATAAGAGTTATTTTTAAATCATTCACTTTTCAAGTTTACAGCATGCCTTCTATGTTGATTCCTAGCGCCCTGACTATTTTGCTTTGTCGTGTGACCATTAAAAGACCACCGATAGATCTTTATGTGCACATTTCTGGTGTCTGATGGTAGTCTCTACTTCCAAGGTAATCAAAGGGCTCCCATCCCCCCTTTGATTTTGAACTTCTAGAAGAAGAAGGAAGGAGAGAGACAGAGAGACAGAGAGACAGAGACAGAGAAGGAAGAAGAAGAAAAGAGAAGTGCTGCATTATGCAGTTCGATATTTTACTCCCAAGGCTGGAAAGGGGATTTCTCTGTCCCTTCTACAGGGAAGTGGAAAGGCTTTTTTTTCCCCCTTTTGTCAATGCATCTGGTAAACACTGACATTCATATCTCAAAAAGCGTCACAGACAACAGTACCAGAGAACATAGTCTTTCCAAAGTAACTTTATCCTTTGGGGAAAATCACTATCCACACAAAAAACATTTGGAAGACATAAACTGAGGAGGTGAATCTGAGATGTCGGGGTCTCTGCTCCCTGACCATACTATCAACCCTCAAAGCGAGGTACCCACACTCCTCAACGCTGATCAGAGGCTGCCTGGATTTGGACGTTAAGGAGGCTTTGGTCCCAGTGGACCCCAAGGCAGACTCTTCCATGCAGGAAGGCCAGGCTGTCGCCCCAGTAAAGCAGACAGAGGGTAGCTGGGAAGCCCTCCTCCTCCCCCTTGTCCCTCATTCCCTCGCGCGAGAGATGCATTATTCTGAGTTAAGTTTTCTTTTGTCCCCAACTTGAAAAATAAATGTACATGTCCCCCCACCGGCCATCCCCCCAAAAAGACAGCTTATCGAGGTGCCCATCACAGAGTCTGGCCCTAAGGTTCTCATTATGAGCAATATCTAATAATAACAGACCATATTCAACACAGGCCCGCCAAGGGAATGCCCAGCCCAGTATTTCTCCCATGTCCCCTTTGACGATCGGGATTCTCTTGACGCTGGTCAGCCCTGTGTCTAATCGATCCTCGATCCCAGAGAACCTGCCACCTTGTCCACACTGGCTCTGTAGCCCAGAAAGGTCTGGGTTTGAGTCCAAGTCTGTCACTTATGCTCTTGGAGACTCTGGGCAATTGTTAACCTCTGAGGTTCAGCTGCTCTGTCTCTAAACCACACCCCAGGATTGTGGTGAGAGCGGAATAATGCATACAAAAGGCTTGACCTGTGCCAAAAGCTATCATAACCGGTCCAGTTAAAGAGTTAAACCTCACGCCCTGACGATTATGGCAACGCACGCAAGAACAACAAAACTGGCCTCTTTGTCCAGTTTTCTGCACCAGCAGATACTAGCCTGTCTCCATCTTCCCAGAAAGAGGGGTTTATGCAGCCTTAAATGTGGTTCATCATTTTTGGGAAATCGGGAGTCAAATTCTTAAAATTACTTGCTGGGGTTGCCTGGAGCCTTCTCTAGGACAGTGTGTGTGACCCATCCAGCATCAGCGACTTCATCTCGCTAGAATCTGTGCTGTCCCATCTTTTAAAAGGACACGTGTCCGTGTTCCTTCCCATGACTGAACACGAATTCTAAAACCCGCCTGTAGAAGTGCGTGACGATTTCTTCCTTAACTAATCGTGCAGCCATGACAAAAATGGCTTTCTATTCACTTTTAAGAGCTCGTGAAGGAGGAAGTTGAAGTTAACCTCAGCCCTTTTAATAGTTAAAACCTCAACAAATAAACAGTGGATGGTGGCATGACGACCTGCCCCCCTCTTCCCTTATCCTGCTTCAGATAATTTGAGATGCCTATTTTGAGTGATTCTCCGCACATCTGATTCTAGATAAATAGAGGTGTTATTATAGATCTGTGATTTCCTACTGACAGAGTTAGAGGGGCAGGCTTAACTCTCCAGATGAAGCCCCATCCTCTCTGTCAACCCACGATCCCTCCAAGCCCCCAGTCGCGGACATTTCCCGAGGCTGGAAACATTCACACATCTGTACGGCACGCCGTGGCATTGCTGTGACTACCTCTGGGGTATTTTTCTTACGACGATGGCTGCCGTTTCATAGCGAGCCATAAACACAGGCTGGATTTTTATATAAAGCATCTTCTTAAATATAATATGGAGTCTCTAGAGCTAAGCCAGGAAAATAACCATTTTCCTACTTGTCAAGAACAAAGTGAAGGTTCTGGCTGAAAGAGACTTTACTATTATCCCTGTTAACTTTCTAATTTCAGGGGAAAAAACATCCCAAGGGTCTACTCAAAACATGACTAGGATAAAAAAGCATTTTCTTACAGAAAAAAAAAAAAAAAAGAAAAGGAAAAGTAGTTTTACGTGAATATATCCTGGATAGTTATTTTTTTTAAAAAGCTCCTACGATTTTACAAGTGAAGGATTGAATAGGCAAATCATATTTTGGAAAGAAAGGGCATCAGCAATATAGTTAACACATTCTTTCGAGCAGCAACCAAGCCTCTGGGGCACTCTAAAACCAAGTTATTACTACTTACATGTTGCAGAAGTAAAAAGTTTTTAAAAGGAACAAGAAAGGGGTGAGGCTCTGTGTTAAACCTGATCCTTTGCTAAGCATATAGTATTCCAAGAGCTAAAGAATGCCCATTCGGCCCTGGTAATATCTCCACCCCCCCCCACCCCCCCGCCAAGAGCTGCTGACGACTGAGGACAAGAATTCACTTACCACCCTCCCCCTCTTCTTTTTGGGAAAAAGAGCTATCTGACAAGGAGGCAAATCAGATCTGATGCACTCCTCACCAAAACTGTCCGAAACAAAGCTGACTTAACGGTGACCATTTCATCTTGCCGCCGTGTGGCTGAATCTTCCATTGCTTTTAAAAATGCTTCATAGTTTGGGTTCCAGTATCAGTAGAAGAAGGCAAGTCCTTTTCTTTATCAGCCGAGTGGGCTAAATCGTCAGTTACACGATGAGAGAATAAGAAAACAGAAGGCTTCCCTTTGATGTTACAAATGGAGGCCTGAAGATGGCATAAATTAATTTAAATGGCCCTAAACACAAGATCAAGGAATCTCCTCGAGAATTTGTTCTGTTTGGAAGGAAAGTTTCATTTCACCCCTCACCCATCTCTCTCACTTAACTCCATCCGATTTACCACACACACTTGCATTTTGGCATTTAAAGAAAAATCAATATGCATATTTTGAACAAGTATTCATGATAAGCACCACAAAACTGATGATTTCAAGGAGGCTTTCTCCTAAATACACCGAAGATGAGTCCGTAGATGAGAGAGAACCCGCCAACATCAAGCTTCGGTTTCTGTTTGGAGACAACGGGGCCACCCTACGGATGGGCCACTTAGCAGCTGTGTGCACAGTATCTGACGGGAAGCCTTCTCTGGGAACTTTCCACTCAAATAACAGAACCTCCCCAGACACATAACTAGGAGAGCTCGTGGGATGAGCCATCAAACTCTGTGCAAGAGAGCATGCTTGCCTTTCGAGAGCCCCACATGTGCTAACCCCAAAGGGAGCGACTGGTCCTGAAACCTTAAAAAACTCACGACGAACACACATCCCTTGGTAGGACTCACACAGTGAAAACGCCTGGGGAAGCTAATTTCTGCGGTCCCAGAGGGCAAGTAGCATGTCCCTGGCTGGCCACCTGCCCTCTCCCCCAGATGTGTTGCTTATCTCTCCCTTTGAGTTAGACAAGCCTGCTACTTGGAGAAAGAATCTTACTGTGACCGTATCATACGCAGCTGTGTCCTGCGCAGCACACAAAGAAAATGACTACATTTCGGAAATTCGAAATGGTATCACAGAGCAAATAATCACTGACGTCAGTGATTTCTACAGTGTAAATGAACTCTGTGTATTATCTAATTTGGCACAGTGTGTTTTATGCAATTATTGTATTTTACAGTGTTTTTGCAATTGCTCGCTAAACCCGGGTATGTGTGTATGGTGTGTGTGTGTGTGGGGGGGTGCAGTTCATCTGCATTCTTTACGGATGGTCCATTTATTTATTGTAAATAATACCTTTGATGTGCTGGCATCCAGACTTTCCTAGTATTTCTTTATATTTTTAAAAGAACATATATTAGATACAAACCCCGCAAATAATCTGAAGACAACAAGAACTTGAACCATCCTGACTTTCACCTTGCTTGGGCTGTGTGTGTGTGTGTTCAAGCCTGCTGGGTAGGTAGGAAAACAACATAGCCAAAGCTAACTTTTAAAAAATTCAAGATATTATCTGCATATAGATATATCTCTCCATAGCCCAGGCACCAGTGCCTCTCGATCTGGGGATCTCATTACAGCGTGGATCTGACTCAGGAGGTCCCCGGGCGGGCCAGAGACTCTGCTGTCTAGCGCGCTCCCAGACTGCGGGTGTGAGGACCACCCTTTGAGCAAGGAGGAGAAGCCAGGACTGGTCTGGGGGGGTGCAGCCCAAGGGCGAGGCAGGAAGCGGGCTCCCTCCAGGTACTTACCCTGCATCTGACTCTGAGGCTGAGGGTTAAAGGCAGTGGAGTGGTTCAAGGAGGCCCGAGGGTTGGGTGTGGGGGCTGGGTGGTGTGGGCTGACCCTCATGGCCGTTCGCCGCAGCTGCTCCAGCTCACTGAGCCGCTCAGAAAAGGACAAGCTCCCGGGCTTGGTCTGATCATCTAGTTTCTGACGATGTCCTATTGTGGGGAGGGGGAAGGGAGTGGGGGTGGGAAGGGGAGAGGGAGGCAAGGAAGGAGGGAGGGAAAAGATCAGAAAATGTATTGTGGATTTTCTAAGATTGGGGGTTTTCTCGTCTTTCCCCTCCCTCTCCCCTCACCCCCAATGTGGATTTACTGGAGATTGGCACACACGGGGCTGGCTTCCCGTGGAAATTTGGGGCCATTGTCCCCATGGCAGACGGGGGGCCCCTCTCATCACAGGCCACTGGGTGCTCCCCCAGCCTGCGCCCCATCTCCCCAACCCTCTGCGCCCATCTCCACCGGGCAGAAGGCAGTGGGCATACAGGGACTGGTGGCGGTGGACGGTCGGGCGGGAGAGAAGGTGCATTAATGGTTGGCACTTGGCCACGCGCTGCGGGCTGAGCTACGGCAGCCAGGAAAGGTGCCCTCCCTGTGGCATCGCGACCGCCGCTCCTTACTGCAAACCCAACCGCTGGCAGGTTTTAGAGGCAGCAAAGTGGGCCCTGGAGCTTAGCACACGCCCCTTCCAACAGGAAATGAGGTGTGGCTGCAAACCCGCAGTCCTTGGGGAGGTCAGATTTCCTGTTAAATGCAGGGCATGGGCAGCCCCTTGGCCCCTCTCCGCTCCCTTGGTAAATGACTACGATTAAAGCTTCTCCTCGAAAGCTTCTCACGAGCCTTCTTCAGCATGCTTCTTCCCTGAAACCGACTTCCCTAGGTGTACCCTCTAAGCTTTAGGGGGTTGACGGGAAGGTGGAGCCTGGGCCTCATCCGGGCCAGTCCTCCCAGAAGGCTGGGCCTACTGGAGCCCAGAGGTCGCGCCAGGAGGCTGGATGGGCTTCCCCCAAGGGCTCAGGAATCCAAGGTGGGAAGGTGGGCCTCTCTGTTGTCCATATAGACAATCAGTATCCTTGCCTTGTTCCCCATCCAAATCACTGTCACCGGGATGCAGTGAGCAGAAGCCATTCACATGGGACAAGCCAGGAGGGCTGGGCTTCCTGTTTCCTTCCTTACTCCCCCAACAAGAGGGCTTCAAACTGGAGACGCAGGCCTATCAAGCAGAACTGAGACTCAGGATGCACTGACAGAGCCACCGTGGGGCCAGGCAATTCCTTCTCCTTTCAAAGAGGATGTGCCCTTGCTCCCTTCTCACCCCTGGGGTTCGAATAAAGAGTCACTGACCAATTTCACCACCATCACCCGCCCCCCAACCTGCCGCGGTCATCAGGTGGCCTCCAAACGACACTGGAGGAGCGGCCCGCTTGCTGCCATAATCGAGGGCTTGTTCACATGTCCTGACCCAGACCTCACTTAGAAAGAGGATCCGTGGATTCCACTCCCCACCCACCCCCACCCCGGCCCAGGCTGGGAGGGGGGTGGGAGAAGTATATTTTAGCCCAGCTCCCAATCGCTACAATTACAAAATTAAATTTTATAACTTGTATTATGGTTCCAAATCTCCGTGGCTGGCCGTTTCTTCCTGCTGCCAGGCCCCTTGGCACAGTTGACATGGTTTCAAATTCCAGACCAAAAAAAGGCCCCACTATATTGCAGTGATTTTATCATGAACAAGACCTGTTTGGCTCCAAAATGAGGAAAACGACTTAAGCATAATATTTGTGTAGTTCAAATGCAATGCTCCCTCTTTTCATATGTCACCAAGGCAAATCTGGACTCTGATTCAGCCCCACAGCCCACAACCCTCGACCTGAACACAAACAGCCTGAGTCACACAGGGCCAGCACACATGTGAGAGGCCTCTTACCAGCTGAGTATTTTAAGCACCGGCCTTGTGGGCGAAAGGCCATCGGGCCAGGTCCCGGAATCACTCCTGTCATCCCTTTCCCTCACAAGTATGAAAATGTCTTTTTCTAGAACGTTCCATTTCAGTCGACCATGGTGTAACTGTCTCTGGATGGATCTTTCCCTGACTCCTCCCTCCTCTTATCTTTGTGACAGATTCTTAGCTTTCTGGTGATCAGACTGAAAAATCTGATATTCTTGCCCCCAAACAATTCCAACTCAAAAGCCACTCAAAGCACAGTAATTTAGCCTTTTAAATGCCTAGCAACCTAATGGGTAGTATTAGGAGTCGAGCAGAGAAAAAGGCAGGAAAAACGATTCTGGACAGTTCTACAGCCTCCAAAAGAATGCCGGTTGGCGAAGTCATAGTGCAGAGGCTTCCAGCAGGCTTTGTACCCATTTCAAAACTTCACATTCCTTGGGCACCCAGTGGCATTTTTGAAGAACACCATGTCAAGGACAGTGGGTGATCCAGGAGAATGATGTGTACGAGATCATTCTAAATACAAGCATTCGGCATTGTGGAGTCCACGGTTGGCCTTTGAAGAAAGGCTGTCGGTTGTGTCTGTCTCAGCCACCGAGCTTGGGGACCATGTACCACCAAGAAACGGAGCGAGAATAAGTCATTTTAGGTAATGCGCTCCTGTGGCCAGGCACAACGTGAGATTATTATTATTTTTTTTTATCAGTCCCCTCTCATTGCCCTATGTTTAAAAAAATGTTTTAACATGTGAGCAATTTCTGGACCAGCTGACACCTGCCAAAATCGTAGTCATTTACAGAGATTAGCTGATGACTGTCTGCTTTAGCAGGAATGTTCAGGCATAACTTTCAGAGAAAACAATTCTTCACTCTGAGCTATTTCCTAAGCCCCGAGAGTCGGGAGGCTGAGTTTAATGCTGGAGGAGTGGTGGGTTGGGGGGCAGGGGAGCGTTCACTCCACACCCTCCCCATATGTGGTCCTGGCAGAAAGAGCGTTATTGCCTCTGCAGGGAATCCTGAGCCCCTTCCTCACCATGGGGCTGGAGGGCTGTAACACCAAAGAACAAGGGAAATAAAAAGCATTATCATATTAAAGGTGTGGTTCCGATGCATTTATAAGCTACATCAAAAGAACACCTCATTCTTCTTTTCTGAAGCCATCAGATTTCATGGGCCAAAGAGCAATATTTTGTATGAAATACAGAAGCTTCCGATCTAAAATTACAAGTGGGGGGAAAATGAATGCTTTATGTCTCCGGTTTCCTGTATCTGTGTGCAATTAAAATGTCAATTTGCCCCCTGAATTTTAAATACAGGAGTATGGGAAATGCCCACTATCAAACTCACTTTCCTTCTTTCTTGCTGAGTACTGGGCTTCAGAGGGCAGCAGGGAATTCAACTCTGGATCAGATCTAGTAGAATTACAATGCAGGCCTAAACACTTGCATGTTGGCAGCCTGGGTTTTTGAGCACATCGGAAGTCTACTGAAAATGTTGACACAGTGGTCCTTAAAATCGTGGCTACCTCGAGATTTCACACTAGGACATCTTAATGAATCTTGACCAGAGTTGAAAAGGATACTAAATTATGTTTCTCTATTACCATTCCCACATTTTGAAAAAAAGTCTTTGATTAGGATTTTATTATATATGCAGAGTCATAAAAAGCCGAAAGAAAAAAAAATAAAAATAAATTAATCCCATCTGCTAAATTTTACTTCTTCACTCCAAAGACATATGTCCTGTAGTTTTCTGGGCTGGCTGCCCACAAGGCATCCCTAAACGTTATGGTATCTGTGATGGATAATGAGACCAGCTTTCAATTTTCCGCTATAAAAACGAGACTGAGGAGGTATGCATATCTCATCCATAACTGAACTATCTTTTTCAAGAAACCATTGCCGAACTGTGAAATATGCTATTATTTCTATCAGAGAAAATAGGTAAGGCTAAATTGTCACCTTTTCCTGGAAAATTCTGGCCAGAAAGAGTAATTTTATGGCAGTTTGTTAGTCCATGTTTCTGGTATGGGCTTACTACTTTTCTTGACAGATTCTCAGCAGAAAAAGTAGGAAGGTGTAGACTCGAAGCATCATCATGACGAGCAGTTGAGGAAAATGTATGCAAAATGATAATACCAAAAAGAGATCTATCTCTCTGTGTGTATCCATCTACATCTGTATCTATCTATACATAACACTGTGATTCTTCTAAAAGCATACATGTATTTCAAAACATGCCTGCCAATCAATCTGATACTAACCACAGGGATCTGGATAAAAGACATGGATTTCCCCCCTCCCCTTAATTTGCTACTGCTTTATGACCATGGAAAAGAAATTGACGTGTGTACAGAACAGCTCACTTTTCCTGGTGTAACAGTTGGGTCATTAAAGTCCCGAGGACAGGAAAGTAATAGTACTGAATGTGAATGTGATACTTCCTTAAAGCACCTTGTAGGTAATGAAATAAATCTTCTTAACCGCAAACCTACCCGTCTGCTGGCTAATTTTTTTTTTAGATTATTTATTTATTTATTTGACAGAGAGAGAGAGACAGAGAGAGAGGGAACACAAGCGGGGGGAGTGGGAGAGGGAGAAGCAGGCTCTCCGCCGAGCAGGGAGCCCGACGCGGGGCTCGATCCCAGCATCCTGGGATCACGACCTGAGCCGAAGGCAGATGCCTAACGACTGAGCCACCCAGGCGCCCAGTCAGCTGGCTAATGTAATGTTGGGCAGCATTATACCATTGTGTATGTCACAATAGAAAATATAACATAACGATATATATGATACCATATTGTATATTAGAATGCATATTATATTTACATGTTTCTATATTGCCCAATGCTATATAAACTTTGGTGGCCTAACTTTTCCCTCCAACTTCTTCCCATATTATTAAACTAGGAGATCCATACAAAGTTAGAGTACTGCACAACTGGAGAAGAGCTGGAGAAATCAGCCTTGTTTTTTAACCCACGTGGGAGAAGTGAAGTTCAGAGAGGTTGTTATTTATCTAATCTCACACAGCTGGTTAGAAAAAGAGGGCAGGTCTGAAAACACACCTACTCCCCCCGCCGCCCGCAATCTTGCTCAATGCACCTATAAATGCCAATTTCTGTGCGAGCCCAGTGTGCGCAGTGTTAGGTGGTTATAGATCCCCGGGCCAGCAGAGCCTCATAAGGATTTGCCCTTTACCATCCCACTTCT